AAACAATGTGTTACCAAATTCTGCTCTGGTATTTGATGCAATCTATTGTGTTCAGCGAGGGCATGGTTAGCATCATGGCCTATGTATTTAAGCCAAACTCACTGCTACCTTAAACACTGCTCTGTGGAGATGCAATAGCTGAGGGCCTGCCCTGCTCCAACATAAATGCAGCATTGCTCATGCGTGTCGCACAAATCTTTACCCAGCCACGAGATACAGACTTGTTCCCGAGCCAGAACTCACACATTACGGGACTGTATTTAGGCACAGCACTGAATTTGTATGCGTGCCAACTCAGCGGGTTCATTACCTGAGTTACAGGATTCTTCTTCTTTTGGGTACATTTTGCCTCATACTCAGGCCTCAGCTGAAGCTGTTGCTGTTCCTCTTCAAAGTCAACCAAATCCCACTCATATTTCAGTCTAGCTTGCCGTCTCTTCCAAAACTCCAAGAAAAGTGTAACTGCAATTTGGAAATGTTAAAATACAGTTCAGGGAGAAGCGAACAAGTTCACGAATCCAGTGAAACTTATTTCTGCATCAGCTTCTATTCTGCTGTCTATTATTTATCCTCATGGTGTGACCCATCTATTTTTACTGTCTACCTATTAAAGGTCACAGCTAAGACTGTAATACGAATTGAGTAATTTATTAGCTAATTGAATTCCAGAAGTGGATGACAAGCAAGATGCCAAAACAGGATACGGGTATTTCCATGGTTATAATGACCATGTTCAATTACAGTTTAATTACTTTTCATACACAAATAGCAACACGAAGTTAACAAAGGAACATGATAATTCAACTCATTCCTTCTGTATAAACCTGTAACACATGAACAACTATAACAAATAAGCAGAACTGTTTTCAAGTAGCATGTTCAGAAATTTCTGTTGCTTTTTGATGATTATTTGATATCATGGTCGTTTTAAAGACAGTAAGTGTCTGATGCTTTTCATATGATCGAGAGTGAGGCTGGCTTAAGAAATTTTTAAGACACTAGAGAAAACTGATTTCACATATAAAATAAACAACTATGAAACATTTAATATTATATAACATTTTAAAAGCCCTCTATAAACTAACTTAAAATGTAAACCTTTGGAAATCTGACTGTTTGTCCTAGTTTTAGCTGGGACAGTGTTAGCTCTTCTTTTTAGCAGCTAGAAGAGCTCCGTGTTTTGGTTTTACTCAGAGGCTCGCTCTGAGAAGAATGCTGATAGCAAGTTGATGTTTGTGGTTGGACGTGAAACTCCAAGGACTTTTCAGTGTGCCAGAGTGCAGAAGCACGGCGGGATAAGGGGGGAGCATAGTTGGGACAAGGGGGACACGATTCCCCTTGTGATTTGTGGTGGAACTTAAGATGGAGGGCCAAACTGGCCAATTAGTATTCCATATCCTGCAGCGTCATGCCCAGTATAAAAGTGAGGGTCAGCCGGACAGAAGGGCTTTTGCGCTTTGGCTCTTTCGCTGCTTTTGCTCTTTTGCGCTTGCTGCGCTTTTGCTCTATTGTTTTTTCTTTCTTTTTCTCTCTCTCACAGTACTCCCACTCTCGGAGTACTCTCTCTCTCTCTCTGCCCCTCTCTATTTCGGGGCCTCGTGTTCGTCTGGGATTGCAGCTTCAGGACGAGACGGGCTGCGGATAAGAGGGGGTGGTGAGCATCTACACTGTGTATTAAATCATCTGTATTAAATTGTTCTTATCTCAACACATGGGTTTCCCGTTTATCCTTTAATTCTCTCCCTCATTCCTGGGGGGGAGGGTGAGTGACCAGCTGTGTGTGGGGGTTCAGCCTAACCCACAACACTGTTCTTATTTGAAGCGGAGAGGCTTTACAGTTTACACAAACACAAGAAAGCTTATCTTCTGCAGTTCTGCAATCTTTGACTCATACTTCCGGAATGACTAATCCATGTCACTCAAAGGCTAGTGTTTAAAACCAAGGAAAGTTTAGGAAAACAGCCATACAACATAATTTTATTCATTTTAATTTTTATAATTCTCTATGGAAAAGTTGGTGGCTGTGTCCTTTGATAACAAATGTGTAAATACATTTGCTATTAGCACACAGATTTTTGTGTGTTAATGAAATATCTATATTCAAATCCAAGATTTAATTATTATATTTCATACAAAGAGTAAAACAGGAGACAAGGCATTTAAGGAAATAACAAACAATTAACTACATTATCTTTCATCTATAAACCTTCACAGAGTTTAAGAAAAGAACATGTATTCAAGACAATACTATCTTGAAGTCTGAACAAGTATCACTCGGTGTGAAACCATGCTCATAGAGAGTCAGGAAATCCACCTATTTCTGCATAACCAAAACATGCCATAACATATGAACTTCACTAGAGCAGAAGCCAACTGATTCTCATCCTAAAAGTGCTGCTAACGAAGTGGCAGTGCTGGACCACCCTCCAGTGAAAGGACACAAAAGCTCTCCACTCCCTCACAAGGACACTGATAATGCGCAGGACTCAGCAGAGAGGACTCTTAGAAAGACTGCATGAGGTTGGAACACTCTGTCTTAGCTTACTAAGGAAAGAAACAGATGTTAGCAGGTAAGAGTATGCATTGCTTGCTATATCCTAGATATCTGCTGGATTTTGTTTGGTTTTGTTTAAGTCCAATTCCTCTGTAACTTGAAATGATTTTTACTCCTTTTCATCACTTTTGCATCTGAGGCAGCATATTAAAGTGAAGCCATCATTCCTCTTCTTTCCACTTTCAGTGTCCCTCACCAGTTTGGCCAAGATCTCCTTATTGCTTGACATAAAACTTATCAAATATACTCACCCCATATGCCCATGAAAACGGCAAAAAAGAGAGTTGCCACGTTGTCAAACAAATGAGAATACTGCAACAGAATACATTGGGAACAGGTTGGTACCAAAACAGTTTTCGGTATGACCAAAAATGACAAGGGGCTGGATAACCAGATACAGACCTCTGAGGACTGACAGGTGGTGTTTAGTCTCCAGTACTCACACTCTTTGTCACAAAGAGGGCACATGAAGATCTCTCCTCCAATTGCAGGGTCACAGATTTCTTTGCTGAGGAGAAAATAGTGTACAGTATCCATTTTCATAGTATCTTAAGAGCTGCTAGATGAAATTTATTTTAAAAACAAATAAATTAAGAGCTTCATTTGTTAAAAGCTCAACATCTCCAGCTTCACAGAGAAGTTGCCAAGTCTTGTCTCATTCACAGATGTTAACCTGGGCTTAGTCAGGGCAAGCCAAGAAATGCAGAAGCTGCTACAAGGAGGAGAACGAGCAACCCACTCGGTATGGGCTTTGTGATTCTATCAGTAATGAATCAGAGGTCTGTAGGAGCTGCGCTGCACATGCACTGCTTTCAGATGAGATATAAACCATGTTCTGTCTCATCAGGTTAGTAACACGTTCAAAACATCTTCTCTAAAAGCAGAGGTATTAATTCAGTTTTGCTATCTACAGAAGAATTTGCTTCTTCAATTTAACTACTACTGTGGACAAAATTTACAATCCTGTGATAGTCCTTAAATATCCAGAGAACTCTGAACATCTATAGCAGTATTCCCAGGTGAATTCTGAACCTAGCTAAAATGTCTCAAAAAAATCACAAAATTCAACAGAATGGATGATAATTTTATCCTGTTATGAATCTTCTATGGTTAAAACTCAAAATTTTCTGGAAGACTTCTTATAAAACACAGTGAGCAATGAAACGTCAATCCTCTTTACGCATGTCCTTTGCCCCCCAATTCCAGAATACAACAAATCTTGGGACCCTTGAATTCACAAATACAATGCTTATTTAAAAAGAAGCAAACTCTGGCTTCCGAGATACTGGATCCCTCTTTGACAGGAGAACATTGCTGACCTGTCTGCTTTTGGTAGTTAGTACAAGTGATGACCAACACAAAAAAGGTCTGCAAGACAGATTAAAATAGAAAAGCTTAAGGCAACAATAAACACTTGAAACAAACAATTTTGAGGGATGTCAGTGGTCTTCTTAGGACTTTATGTATTGCAGGTACTCCGATATAAAAAGATATTGCCAAATAGCAGTAAAATATTGCTTTTCACCAACAAATTGAGTCTTACTAATTAATAGCCACAAGTTCTGCATTAGCTGTCCACCACCATTTCAGTCAATAAAGATAGCTGAAGACCAAATCTGTCTGCTCTGACAACCTTTAAAAGCTTGTTACCTCTTTTTTTGCAAGAACAAAATTTTCACATTGCTTAGCTTTTCCCATTATAAGCCCAGGAGATTTCACACATTACACTCACCTGCTCATATTTTCATCCATTGTAAACAAGCCATAAAGAAAACAGATTAAGCCAACAACTGCTGCAAGGAATAACATCTCTGTGTAAAATCCTAGCCAGGCAAAATAGATTCCAATCTTCTCACCATAGTACTTCCTGAATACAAAAAAATGCAATTAATAGGAATACAAAGCAAAGTTTACAACTGCAATAGAGCAAACTGGCCAGAGTCAAAATGAAACACTTGGCAAAATTCTCATTTAACAGAAGAGTAAATGCACTGATGTACACTGGAAAAATGGGATTTGAAGCTAGCTGTGAGAAGTTACGCAAGCTGAATGAAGACAATATATGGTCTCTTTTGATTCTTTTTTCCTCCTAGCAGTAGCTTCAGCTTTATAATCACTCCTCCTTCCCACAGGATAACATAAATGAAGATTTACTTTTTCAGTTTTCAAGGGAGTTATATACACAATCAAGCTGGGCGCAACAGTTCTGATCATATGGCTAGAATCAATGGGTAGTTCACAGAAACACAACTGGTTGTGTTATGAAAGGGGCAACTGTAACCTGTGAATAAAGTAACATTTTTGTTGTATCATGTGAGCTGAATCAGAGACCTTGGGTAAGGTCAGTTTAAATTTGAGTTTAGTACTGAGTTCAGAATCAAGCTTCAAAACTGATTATATCAGTGTTTTCTCAAGTCTGGGTTGAAAATTCAAAATTTGAAATCTATCTTTAAAAATTGTGGCAGATATTGATTATAAAATGAAAGGTATTCTTCGTATGTGTTCCCCTACAGCTGAATTATCTGTAACATACCTGACTTCAGGAGTGCTGGCTAGATTGAAAGAGGTTTGATTTGAGATATCGCATTTTCCAGTTGCTAGTAAAAACCTGTGTCATGTCCTCCAAGGACCTAGAGGCTAATTAAGTATCTGATTCTCACGGGATCTTAAAAGTAGTAAAAATTTCCCAGCAAGACCAAGTTACAAAAGAATATATGCTCGTATTACATTGAAAACCAAGTAAATATAATAAAACACAGGCAGTATTTTACCTGATGAGGTCCAAAGGCTGCTCTTTATAGAACCGCAAGAAACGGGCCCACTCCATGTACAGCGTGTATCTCTCGTTGTCACAGTTTGGATCATTTGCCTTTTTCCAGTACTGGCACTGCGAGCAAATCAGAGTAAAGGCAAAACATCTCATCGACAGACTCAAATACTACATTAAAAGAAATGAAGGTTAATGATGATGATGCCAATGAAACTAATCTGAAACTCAAACTTAGCACTCTACTTTACGACTTCAAGTAGAACCCTTTTTAATATGTTTAAAGATAATACACATTTTCAGAAAATATTTCTCAATCTTAGACATGAAGTCAACCTGTACTGTAACCACATTATTTTACACCAGTGTTGTGTTGTGCTGGTACAACACACTCATTTGCACCAGTAGAGTACTCCAGTGAATGGTTTGTTCCTTTACACTGGTGCAGCATATGCCATTGCAGAAGCTTAAGCTTCTCTGAATTAGAAAACCACCATTTTACTCCTGTTTCACTAAAAATGCAAATTTAAATCCTGTTCTCTGTACTTCTGAATCAGGCTCTCATTGTAAACTGCACAGCAAAAAGCACTTCACCGAGAGACATAAACTAGGGGCTATACATTGAAGTTGTTTCCTGCCTCCAGCCACAGCACTATAATGTACCCCATGCTGCGGTTTCTCAAGCTGTAATGCAAGGACACGCAAAACAAAATTCTGACACTGATTAACTTCAGTGGTGTTCATCACTATCGTGTACCTACCTGTCAAATACTAAGAATACTTTGTTTGTTTCCTAGAAACTAAACAGCACAGAATAACTGCAGTTTCTGATAGCTCTTGTAATTTTATTTTGTATTGTAGAACTCTGCTTTTAGAAATACTTGGCTTTGTCAAATATTCAGTTTGTGATCTTGGTTTTCCCTTTTTTCTGAATGTCTCTCAATTGCAAAGAAAAGCATGAAAATTGGTTTCTAAGTAGAAACCAAGAAGTTTAAACAACCTAAAGTTCGCATTTTAAAAATATTTTAAAAGGTTAAATAGTTATTTTTTTAGAAAATGATTTGTGAGTCTGTCTCATGATTTTGGAATTTTTTCATACGAAGGTGTCCCTGCCCATGTCAAGAGGGTTGGAAACAGATGATCTTTAAAGTCCCTTCCAACCCAAACCATTCTATGATTCTATGATTTCTTAGCATTTAAGATTGATGATACTTGTATAGAAGAGTTTCTTGTACGACTGCTTTTTATTCACTGTGGTTTTGGTACTCTCACCAGTATAAAGTACTTCGCAGTCTAGACTAGTCTTCTGCAGCCTAGACTTGGATTAGCTAAAATTTCTCCCATAAAACCTACAGAATGTCCATTTATCTGTTTATTTTCATTTTCTAAAGAAGAAAAAAATATTTTAAAACATATAAAAATATAAAGCTATGTAAAGTATTTAAAAATATCTTGTGGTAGAATTCACGGATCCAAATAAGCAATTTAAGTTCACTAAAGCATTGTGACAAATCTCAAAAAACTATTATAAACAAGGGGAGAATTTAAGATTTAAGCAACAAATTAAACACAACGTTCAGGATGTAAAAAAAACCCAAAAAAACTTAAAAATAAAATCCATAGAATATGGTAACCCACCTCCCTCTTGTTTTCTCCAAGGGATTTCAGGGCTAAATCCATATATGTTGTATTAAAAACTGACCCTACAGCAAAACTAAACACCAATATTTACCATTCTGATCATACTTGCAGCATTCGCAGTTGCTCACCAGAGCTCACTAGGAGATGGACAAGTGACCACCCCACACTGAACTGTATGGCTCATGCAACTCATCTGACTTCAGTTCTGATATGGTGTGACGCCAAGAGTATTTCTATAACTACAGGTACTATGCACTATTGTATAGCTACAGTGTATGTATGCACACACCCTATACACACACTGCTGAATATATGCATCTACAGTAGGCATTCATTCCTTGTTATAATCTTTCTAACATCCTACCACCTAATCTGTATCAGACATTATAGGAATATACTATGGAATAAGTCTTTTACAAATTATGTGACTGACACATAAGTATATGCTAGAAACCCATCCACAGAAGAAACGTTTCAGCACATAAAAGGCAAACAGTAGGACTGGCAGATATGTCTTGTGTATTATAAAACAGAATCAATTACTGGGAGAAATGGGAGGGTTTGAGTGCTTTTTTGTTTTCTGCTGGAAACAGCAAATGTCACAGTAGGTAAAAGTAAAAACACTGGGCAATGCTCAAGGGAGCAGAAAGCTAAAATACTTACATCATGAAGAGGATATGCAGCTGAATAGGTGCCGTTATTTAGCAGTCTCTTAATCCCAAATTTTTTCTTCCCTTCTTCTGTTCCATATGGGCAACGTGTAAGAATGTAATTAACCTGAGATTCAAACACAAGAATTTCAGACCTTTCCTGCTTTAAGGCTGTTTAACAGAAACCTTTAATGGTTGCGGACCGTGTATAATCTGCAGGAATAATACGCAAAAGCAAAAAAAAGTGGTTCTTCAGAAGGCTCTACCCTGTATGAGACCATAGAGGGCACGCTTGCCTTGCAGACGCTTAGAAGATCCATTCCAACAAATACTATTCCAGATTTGCAAGAAAGATGCACAGGCACTTAGGTTTCCTCATATTTACCTGCAGACACCAGCGTTTATATATTCCTTCATCACATGAATATTCGTACGGGATCGTGTAAATCTACATATAAACAAAAGTAGACAAATTCACATACGTACTATTCGGTTTCTCATGGATGGTGAGAAGAAAGTGCTCTCATCATTAATGAGGTACAGCTCCTGCTTGTCCTTGCTGAATGGGGCCGTGAAATAATCCGGTTCGGGGTGCATCACCTTCTCGGGAAGCCTGAGCGGTGCCAGCATACAGTCCAGGGGGTTCTCCATCATTGAGGGAATGTCATTTTCCTTGATGGGAACTTTAATGTTCAGCACTTCTGCATACGTGATCAGAACCTCCCATGGGGCATGGATCTTCACAAAATAAATCTTGCCATCTTCAGATTCCTGCCCCAGGAAAGTTAAATCAGACATCAGACTAAATCGTGTTTTTTTGCAAGATTTATGAGAATAGTTGCTATACAAAATTTATTGCCTTTTACATACTTTTGAAAGCTTAAAAAAAAAACAACCCACAGAAGGGGAAAAGAGGGATTTTTGGAAACATGTATTTTTTTTAAATTTTTTTGTTTTAACTGAAAACCTTATCTGAGTGGTTGTTAGTTCATAAGGATACTCTTTGCACTACTTAAAGCTCACAAATGCTTTTCAAACTACACTAATCTTCTCCACTGAGACCTGGAAACTCTCATCGCACTCTGAGTACATTGGTACCCTGAGCAAGGGTTTGCTGTGCAGGGCTGGTCACTCGGCAGCCCACGCGTCCTGCAGGCCACCGTGCTGGACTGTAAAGCTGTTCTCTTTCCCAGCAGAGGCAGTTTTCAAACACTGGAGTAGAGCCTACAAGAGTCCTTGCAAAAAGGAGTTATCAGCCAGAGCTAAGACCCGTTACAGCCTCACAGCTGTGATAAGGACTAATCTTATCACAGGCCACACCCCACAGTATATGTATGTTCTTCTAGCATTTGTTCCTCTACATACACAGGAGAAAATGGCAATCAGAAGGTATTTTTAACACGTTGCTCAATGAATCCCCGTCTATGGATGTTACAGGGTCTGAACTTCACCAAAAGTGGTTTTGTCTCACTCAATCTCTGGCAGAAAAAAGAGCACACTGACTGAAGAAGTCAGCATCCCGTGTTCTCCAGTAATTAGAGAACAGTAACACTAATCAAACATCCTCAAGTTGTTACATCAGGGTCCTTCCTCATAATTACAACATCCAGTGGGTATACGCCAATCCATTCACTGACTTCCAAACACTTTGTTAGGTGGGATTAAATCTAGCTGTGAGCATACTTCCCATTTACATGGGTTTAAATGGAGTCACAGCTATTTTGGAACTGCTTTCTTTTTGTTATGAAATCAAAAGCCATCACTTCCTCCTGAATCAAAACTACTTTGTTTCCACCAATTCTTATGACCATATCTGGAAAAATAATCAAATAAACACATTAAGCTTGTTTCACCTAAATTAGTCACACTCCACTGAAATCTGCTGGAATAATTTATAATTTTTCTCAAAGAAACAAAGTGGTATATATCAATTAGTAATCTGCAGGTCTGTTTCTTTGGTCTTAATTTTTCTTTTTCTTATTTTTTTGTTTTACCTTCTTGTCTTCTGTTTCTAGTTCCAAACCAGCCTTTTGCAGATTGCTCTCAAATTCTTTTCGTCTTTCCTGAAGAGAAATAAACACACTTTATTAACTGATGAAGTCAGCAACTAACTGATCACTTACTGACGACTTCGCTGAGTTTCATTCCTCCTAGCTGCCCTGATGACAACCCCCTAATGCTATGTGACCTTTGTAAAAGAAAGCAGAGCAACAGACCAAAACCAGCTGATGCATACTAGGCCGCTTCTGAGCGATGGCCAGCCTACTGACCAGCAACAGGAAACCTATTTGTGAGTTAGGAATAGGCTCATAAACTGGGAAATCTTGTTAACCGGAGAAGCAAATGAAGTCATGCGTCTCGAGCATTTCTGTCTCCTCGGGAGGGTGGGGTGTGCGATGCGACATTGTCCAAGTTCAGCTATGTTTCTAAGAGAATCTTAAAACTAGCTGAAAAGAAAAATTCTGGAAACACGTGGAAGACTTATAGTGACCTCTATTTACCAGTTTAACAATCCTGCCTGATACAAATGTTCGAGTACTGATTACAGACAATTGAAACAGTGTTCTTCACAAACAACATAACTGTAAAACTCGATAAGACTCAGAAATCATTGCATGTACGCTTACGTATGCTTAGCTTGCATAAAGTCAGTGTGGACTTCATGCAGATATAAATAAACCTATCTGTGGCAGTGCACGACCTCTGTGAGCTGGCAAACCTCCTTGAACTCTGTACTTCACCGAGTAATTCCTAAATGGTGTCTTAAGTCTTGGGAGACTGAATTAATTTCCTTTTAATTATACAAAATTAATTGAAGAACTGCCAGAACAATCAAAAGTTAAGCTAAATATTGAGCCCTAGCCTCATTAGAAAGCACCAGCTAGACTACCAATTTATTGGTTAAATCTTGTGTGCTGGGTGATGTGTTCTCTACTGTAAGGTCTTACATGACATTTTCAAATACACTTTAAAAAAACACAAAAAAACAGACCACACTTTTCAGCCAATTTCCTTTTCTAGTGCGTCCGTGAAGATCAGGCTGCCCTATTTGCATTTCAGTTTGCACAAACTACTCAGATAAATGAACAGAGTCTGAAGAATAGCTTTAATGGCCCTGAAATCTACGCTAAGGTGTGTTGACATACTTCCTATGTTAGTAGGCTTGCATTTTTACATCTCACACCTGACTTTGCAAAATATTATTAGATACTGGCCTACGTAAACTTGCAAATATGATAATTCCTGAGTTCTAGCACATGCTGGGCAAAATGCAATACCATGCATTATATTTTAATTCATCTATGCCACAAACCTGCCTACATGCACCTGTATAAACACATCGAGATCTCTTATTTGCTGACCTGCTGATCTAATAGAGAACAATACAACTAAAAGGTGATTTATGATTACATCTGAAAGTGCTATATAAAAGCTGACATTCAAGACCAGCATCCAAAGCTCTGAGCTATCCTGGATTACATTTTCTCCAAACAAAGCACGCTGGCATGAGTTCTTTCCCCAGCAAACACTGGAGAAGAGCCAAGCGAGTCAGCTCAGAGGGTTCTGCCACCAGAGACGCTCACCAGCCAGCTCCTCCTCCAGCTGCACAGCTTAACAACAGACAGAGCTGAAGGGTCTGGCCCCATCTTACTCCCTACTATATGCTTAGTGTGATAAATTGCAATACCCTAACAGAAATTATGCTCTTTCTGCTACCTTGCTCTCTTCCCATAAGCTATCCTCTCATAAGCACGTGTGAATGTACTGTACTTTCCAGTCACTTGAAACAACCATCTTTAAAAGAAAATCAATCTGCTGAAAAAAAAAAAAAAATCAATGTTCCCTCCTTTCTTGCCAAATACTGAATTTCTTCATATTGCTGTCAAAGGCTTAAAACGGACAAAATGTACCCTTGGACCAGTGCTGTTTTGTTTTAATATGTACTTGTAATAATTCTAAGCTTACAATCCCAAACCTAAAAAGCAAGAACTGGTGCATATATTTGGGACTCCACTGTAGTTGCCACTGTGCAGTCACAGAGGGAAGATGGAAGCAACACAAATAGTCACGTTAATGAAGACCAGTAATAGTGGGCTAATGCTCTTCTCCCATTTTGGTTTTTTTTTTGAAGTACAGTTCTTAAGCCTCTCCAAAGCATCTGTAAGAGAATGAAACCACATTTTCTGAGGCCTATATAGGAGAGAGACCAGTCGAGCATTCACCTCTCCAAACACCTCTGTGGATATCTTGCATACCCTAACTTTACCATCTAACACATGCTTGGCTGCAATGAACCATCCTGATAAGATTAAGAAAGCAAGATCCAAAGTCCAGTGGTACTAACATGACCAATGCAGATGCAACGCTGCATGATTAGTTACCTAAGGAAGACAGACAACTGTTATAAACCTATTTCTTGATAAGAATGCTGTTACTGCTAGTACAACAATCAATAAACAGGAGAATAAAATTATTTTAAGCTTATAATATACTATTCCTTAACCAACCTCCTCCTCTTCCCTTTTTCCCTCACTTTAGGCAGGGAGCACCAAGCTTACAAAAGCCTTTTACACATGAGGATGCTCAGGCTTATTCTAGCTGCAGTCATGTGTAAGATCCTGGGAAATAAATACAACCTTTAAGAACAACTAAACACTACTGTAAAGCATACAAGAACTCTGCTCTTAGCTGTACTCTGAAAAAACACAATTTACTTCACAGGACTAACACAGATGGGCTCAGTCCGGGCTCAGGCTGCCCACGCAGCTCCCTGGCAAGAACGTTTCAGATGAGATGGAACATGTCTAGTAAAGGTCCCTGTTCTCCCCTTGTTCTCTCATCCCCCTGCAGCCGTGAGAGTGGGGGGCTGACGAGACGGATGCAATAATTGACCCTACCACAGCGCCTGCCTGCGTGGCTGGGGAGGGCGCTCTGTGTGCCCTCCAACGCGCAGGAGATGCCGAACACCTTCCTTCTGCAAGTACCAGCCAGGCTGCTGTAAAGCAGCACGGAGAGGTGCCCAGTTTGGATCAAGCCCAGTTGTCTGCTGCTCCTGTAGATGTGGGGACACCGCTTCTCCCAGCTGGCAGCCTGACAGGATGCAGCAGGAGCAACAAGCATCTGATTTTTTGCTGCCCCTGGCTCCCTGACTTTGGCCTATCTGGTACTTGCAAGAAAGCAGAAGTTTCTGTCTCAGATGATGAAAAGTGGGAAAGGACTAGATAAAATTTCTTTCCATATCCCCGTGCCCCACCGGGGACAGGGGGACTTTGCTTCCAGTAAACATAGGAACAAGTTACTTTGCACAGAGATCCTACAGTCCTAATGCTCTGGAGTTTCTTGTGAAGAAATACACTTATGGACAATAAAGATCATGCCCTGGTCATACATGAATAATGTATTACATATTTTATAAAATTATATTTATTTTTCCATGTTCACATGCATTTCATATGCAGGCAAAATAATTCCTCTTATCTGCTAGAGGCTTTGAGGAAAAATATAAAGTATTGTCTCATAAAAATGTAATCCTAATTTTCGTTTACAGAGACTTTATGGTTAGGATTTATTCATGTAGCTTATAGAAGGCAAGTTCAAACCAGAGTTTAAGCTGAAAAGTTTCTGGGGAACATCAAAGAAGTTAATGCATTTGTTCTGCATGAAGCTAAGGGATAAGATGAAGAGACTGTCTCTTACAGCTGTATCAGGGCTGTGTTGAGAAACACAAAGAAGTTATTCATTCCTTTCTTAGAAATGCAGAATAAAGCTGTTTCCTCGAGACAAGGAAACAAAACCTTTTGTCACAACCGTTATTCTCTTCCCATGAACATTTCTATTCTTCGCTGTTACATTTTGCTGTCTCATTGTAGTACAGGAAGATAAATTCACATTTCTTTCCTGTGACAACTGTACAATAGCAAGTACAGTACATCAGACTAATTCCAAGGGCTGCAGTGCATCACTATTTAAATCTTATTCCCACAAAGACAACAGCACAGCACTTCTATGCTAGGAAGGCTGCTTGAATTTATGGGCATATTCATTGTATAAAGATCTATACTGGACATAAATATAGGGCAAATTTCATCTTCTCAGTCGATTCCCCAGGCACTCTGTGGATGTGCTGTAATGTTGGTATCTTCATGTCTGTCCGTCCTGTGACCGCAGAGCTAACCTACAGGGCCACAAACCAAACATCATCTTCCATGGGGCCATAAAGTCTTCTGCGAATGAGAGACGTGTACAGAATTAAACGTCATGAAACTTGATGCAGGTGCTCTAGCCTTTTGTAAGACAGATGTTTCTTCCTAAGTGCATTTTTACTTCAAAGAGGAACTACAATATTACCTACTAACTCCTGCGTTCTTCCCTACGTGAATCCTTCAGTCAATAATGACACACACGTACATGGCCTCCTGTCTGGCAAAGGTTCCTGCCACCCTCTAATGACCCATAAAGTAATGAGAAGGAAAATTCCTGCACACAATACGAATACCCAACCAGACTCAGTATCTGGCACATTTTCCTTCCCACTTTAAACATTACCTAAATAGTCTCCCTTTTTTTCCTCATGTTATTTGAATATGACTAATGGAAAAGTTATTTTAAGAGTTGCTTTCGTGTATTTTGCATGGATATCTTTCTTCTCTCTACACTGACTGGTCTCCTCTTCCTTCTTTTTTAAATGCATTTTGCTTTATGGGAGAAGAAGGAATCTAGGTAGGATTATAGCCTGACGAAGAGTCAGTGTGGGTTTGAAAAAGTATGCCTTTATATAAACCTATGGTACCATGGCAATAACATAACCCTGGTCTCCCAAACAAATCTCTTGAATGTGGCTGGCTGAGCAAAGCTGACTGTCAGATGCTTAAGCTGGGAAAAGCACCAAACAGAGGTGATGACAGAGATTTTTGCTTTTTTAAGCTATGAAGAGTAAGGGGCAGGGGCTGTGTTCTACACTGGATCATATTTGGATGCAAGTATAGGCGGCATAAGCCCTTAATGAAAACAGCATTTCCTTCATAAATGAAGGAAATGAAGGAAACCCAGAGGGACCATAAACGAAAGAAACCCAGAGGGACCTTGACAGGCTTGAGAAATGGGCCAGTGCTAACTGCATGAGCTTCAACAAGTCAAAATGCAAGGTCCTTCACCTGGGTCGGGCCAATCCTAGGCACAAATACAAACTGGGCACAGAGTGGGTTGAGAGTAGCCCTGAAGAGAAGGATTTGGGGTGTTTATAGATGAGAAGCTCAACATGAGCCGGCAGTGCACTCATGTGGCCCAGAAGGCCAACCGCATCCTGGGATGTATCAAGAGAAGCGTGGTCAGCAGGTCAAGAGAGGTGATTCTCCCCCTTTACTCTGCTCTTGTGAGACCCCACCTCAAATACTGCGTCCAGTTCTGGTGTCCCCACCATAAGAGAGACATAGATCTGTTGGAGCGTGTTCAGAGGAGGGCCACAAAGATGATCCAGGGGCTGGAGCACCTCTGCTACGAGGACAGGTTGCGGGAGCTGGGGTTGTTCAGCCTTGAAAAGAGAAGACTTCGGGGGGACCTAATAGCTGCCTTCCAATACCTGAAGGGAACCTACAGGAAGGCTGGGGAGGGACTTTTTACTAGAGTGTCCACTGATAGGACAAGGGGAAATGGGTTTAAGTTGAAGGAGAACAGATTTAGATTAGATCTTAGGAAGAAATGCTTCAGTACCAGGGTGGTGAGACTTTGGAATAAATTGCCCAGAGAAGTTGTGGATGCCCCCTCCCTGGAGGTGTTCAAGGCCAGGTTGGACGGAGCCTTGAGTAGCCTGATCTAGTTGAGAGGCATCCCTGCCCATGACAGGGAGGTTGGATTAGATGATCTCTAAGGTCCCTTCCAGCCTATACCATTCTGTGATTCTATGATTCATAAAGGAAAGAAAGCAGTAAGCAATCTTTTTGAACAGCCCAATGTTGCAGTTTTTCTTCAAAGGAAATTACCATTACCATTTTAATATTAGACAAGATATAGATGAGAAATGTTCTTTACTTCACAGAGACCTTTAGTTTTGATCATGATTCTGTCATAAGCCTCTGAATAATTAGTTTTCTTCTGATATCCTTATCTTTCAGAATAACATGATTACATAAGAATGAAGTTTTTTTGGTCTCTCTCTCCTTTTTTTTTTTTAATTATGAACACACTTTAGAGATAAATATTGGAAAGACTAGTTTATAAATGCAACCTCTCCTGGCTCAGAAAAAAGGCAGCAAATAAAGAGAAATAGAGTAATCAAAATCCCTGCAATTTTTTTTTAATATTATGCTTTATATAAAGTTTATTGTTTTCTTGACTGCATCTCATAGTACCAGATTTTTTAAATAGCTTGAATTTACATGTTAGTCAAGTTAGACCTCGAGTGTCAGTGTGAGCAAGGAACAAATCCATGTCATTTACTGATTCCATCCAACCTACTGTTACCATTCAGGCAACTGGGTCTCGCTGGGAAGTTCAGGGATGATCACCAACCAGCATTTTAGAGAAAGCTTGTACTTCGTGCTCTGTTAAATAGGAGGTCTCTTATCAAAGCCACTTTAAATATTCTTCTAGAAGAATAAATACACATATGTACACGTGTTGGATTTACGTGGCGGGGTTTTGTTAGTGGGGCAGGGGCTACCAGGATAGCCCCCGTAAGGAGCTGAAAGCAGCTTCCCGGCTCCAAGTTGGACTCGCCTCTAGCCAGGTCTGAGCCCATCAGCACCTCTGTGAATGCCATATTTAAGAAGAGACAAAGAGATCTGCGCCATGTGAGATCTGCAGCTGAGAGAGGGGGGAGGCAGGATCCTGGCCCTGGCCTCCTGTGCTGGGCTGCTGGTCTTGACTGGAGATGGCCAGGGCCACGTGGTTTGGAGAGCTTCGAAATGCCCCACTCCCGGGGTACCCGCTGGGTGAAGTTCATTCCTGTCAGGACTGTCGAGGGTTGCCTGGCCGGTTGGGCGCGGCTGCAGCAGAGAGAGGACTGAGACCCAAGAGAAACAGCTACGCGACACCAAGGTCACCAAAGATGGAGCGGGAGGAGGTATGTTGGATCTGAGTTTCCCCTGCAGCCTGTGGTGAGACAGCGGTTGGCCCTCCTGCTGCCCGTGGAGATTAATGGTGGAGCAGAGATCCACCCGCAGCTGTGGAGGACCCCACACCAGAGTGCTCAAAGGAGTTAGTGGAGAACTGTCTCCCGTTGGAAGGTATCCCACACTGCTGGAGATTAACAGGGGAGCCAAGATGCATCTGCAGCTCATGGAGGACCCCATGCCAGAGCAGGTGGCCGTGCACAAAGAAGCTGTAACTTTGTGGGAAAAGCCCGTTCCAGAGCAATCTGATGGGTAAGATTGCATCCTGTGGGAAGGACTCATTTCAGAGAGAAGTTCATGGAGAACTGTCTCCTGTGGGAAGGGACCCCATGTTGGAGCAGGGGAAGAGTGTAAGGAGTCCTCACCTTGCAGAGGAAGGAACGACAGAAACAACGTGCGATGAAACAACAGTAGTGAGCAAGTCAAGCACAGGGAAAAGCTTAAAGAGGAGATGCTGTGTTTGTTCTACTCAGAGCATATATTAAAAAAAAAAAGGCTTGAAAGTCTTAAAAGGAACATTGTATGGACTCTCGGATCTAATAACCTATTTCTGCTCTAAATGAAGTCAAAGGATGGGGGAAAAAAATAGTTACTGTAAAATCTCATTTGGATAACACGTTCCTTATTTAGAAGAAACCTCTTTCATTTAGCAGTATTTACAGATATTTCACCAAAGCAACAGCTAATTATAAGACTGTTAAATGAAGAAACCAAAATTATTCTGATTATTTTGCATCAATTGCATAACATATTGACCAGCCTAAGTAATGGAGAGTGATCAATTCAGTAAACGAAGCCCTCAGAATCTAATAATATTGGGTCCTGGCTCACAACAGTAAATAACACAGAAATTTCAGTACATGGAATGGCTTTTCACACAGCTATGGAATTTTTAGCTAAGTCCTATTCCAGCTGAGTGTAGTGATTTGAAAAGCTTAGTAATTGATATTCAGGTTATGATAGATAAGAATTAAGAGGACCTCAAAAAGATAAACTTACCAACTTTTTTTCCCATTCCTTATTAAGATCATCCACATAGGAGAGAACAAAATCAATTCTCCTGACACCATCCCTGAAGAAAATAGAATCTTTGCTTTGATGTCTTTTATCAATCTGTGGAAGATATAGGCATATGATTAAAAAAAACAAGTATTGCTGTTGCCCTAAAATATAACAGAGGACAAAGAAGTTTCCCCAAATTGCCTCAATTCTTCTGTTTCTTCGCAGCTGAAGATATACGTGGGCAAGTTTTAACAAGGGCTATATCCAGTTAAAATAATTTCAAAAATAACTGCTTATATCCACGAACACTACATGTAAATAACTGGTATAAGAAGAACAAATGTATGTTAGTGTAGCAATATTGTGAGCAATGCTACCATTTATTCTTTCAGTCTTTACAGTGTGTCATAAATGATCAAGACAAGTGTTATTTTACAGCATGATTTTTTTTTTTTTCTGCAGTTAGTCAGAACGCCGCCACCCTACACAAAAGCCAGCTAAGGCACAGTTCATCGACTTGAAGCAGGTAGCAAAAAGTAAGTTCCATGCATTTTCTTTTACATAACAAGATACAGTAAATCAACCGCCACAGAGAAATACGTCCCAGTAATGACCACGTACAAAAACAGCACACTAACAACACAGCAGTGACATCTCAAAAGTGAGTATTTACTTTCTTTGGGGAATAAAATAAAAATCTAATAAAAGCTACCAATGAAACAGGGTAATCGGTATGCTAACTGATCTATTAAAGATCATATTGTAATAACAACATTCATATTTTCCACTGATTAGGCTACAGCAATAAATGTTAAGCAAATAAAAGACTATCACCTCAGTCTCCTAGGGAAGTTAACATTATTAACATAATATTAGGTGATATTATATATTATCGTATCAGTATTCAGCTCTACCAAATTGTTTACAAGACCAGAAGTTCATACAGCAAAGTGCTCTCCATAGAAGCTAATACTCTGGTCTACGTTTAAATTCATGCTAAGGAAGGTTGTTGGTGTTTTTTTTTAACCACACCCATCAGCAGAAGTGTATTTGTATAGGAGTGAATTGGGTTTTCATTTTATTAGAGTAGGAACAAAAACCAGTAATTCAGAGGGTTATGTCTCTGTCTCCTCCCTCTTAAACCATGCAAGGATGCACGTGAAAAGTTCTTGGAGAAAGCACGGAATATTTATAACTGTGAACCTTGCTCCCAGTTAACAAAAGGCATCACACAGTGAAGCATGTTATTACTGCAGCCATCCAAGCCACTTGCAATATCATTCATCACTGTTTTACCCTGAGACGTCGCTTCAGGAACAGATTATATCTCCTTCCACTCTGCCGGAATAACCAACAAGTAGTTAGCAAGCCCACTGTTCCTCTCCAAGACCCAAACCAAGACCCAAACCAACTGCTTCAAGCACAGACCCCCCAATGAGGGTTAGCAATAAGTCCATGTCCTTACAAAAGCGGAGAAAAGCCTTCAATTATTAGAAAAACACAAGCGCCCATAAACATTATGACTATAATGTCTTTTTAAAGGCAAAGTTGTGCTGACATCCATTTTAATAACAAACTCAGGTGTTTTAAAATAATGACTCCTAAAATGCTAATTGCCATTATTTGGATACTTCAGCAGATTAAAAAAAAAAAAGAAAAAAAAGAAAGTTTCTTTGAATGTAATGCGAAAGTAACAAAACGAGCACTGGCTAATGAATAATGCATGCGTGTTTCTGTCATGCTCACATTAGCTGGCTAATGAATAATGCATGCGTGTTTCTGTTACACTCACGTTAAGTTGGACCCACTGGGACATAAAAAGATGAATGGCAACCACATAATTCCAGAGCTGACAAAATTACAAGCAATAATATCCGCATACTCTAGGATGTGTGATATCTTCAAATAGACTCAAATTCAGTAATAATAATAAAATTTAAAATACCTATTGTTCCATAGTGTTGCACAACTTTACATGTCTCCACTAGACACACTGGTAACTGCTGAAACCACATAGTAGCCTACTTTGACCATCCATGCCTTATGGAGAATTCCTGTATTTCTGAAGCTATTCTAGTCTTTGGGAAGCTACAAAACACTGTGTTGCAAATAAAAGTAGCATAAAAAAAGCTAAAAGAAATTATTCCCTGCAAGTGCTGCAATCCTCTCTTTGCCTTCCCTCATTGACAATTCTGTTTTGGCTTGGGTTTTTTTTTCTGCTTTTCTTCTTGAGAAATATTTACAGCAGATTAAAGTATTACAGATCGATTAAAGTAAAACTGAACTCATAACAGGCTCATCAGAAAATGCTTTTGCTTCCAAATGCAGTATATAATCGTGCAAGAATAAGAGGCTCATGAAAATCATGGAATCCAACAGAATAAAAGAAACAGCATTTTCCTATTCTATTTTGTGCTTATAGGTGGTGGGTTTTTTTTGTAAATATAATTGTGACTACAAATAAATTGCAACTGTTTAGATGTTAATTTGATCAGCAGAATCACACCAACAACTACACAGCATCAACGGTACTGTAATTATTCAGCATTAGAGAAAGTGAACCCCAAAGTGCATTTTAACAACTTAAACAAAGTTGGGAATCAGCCCAAAAACTGACCACCTCAAACACCAATTTACAAAGACAGATTGTGAGAGCACAGATGTTGTCCTAGTGAACTAACAAAATCCATATACACAAAGAAAAAAAAAATCAATAAATAATATTTACTTTTAAAAAAAGCTCCTATCAAAGGAGCATCCCAAATTCTTTGGGTAGCATATTTATAATTAGATTATCCTATACAATTGAAGTAGTACTTTATCTTTAGTGCCATCAAAGTCTGTTCATTTTCCAAGATCCGTGAGAATTTTGCTCAGTCATTACAGGTCTGACTGACGATTTAAGAAGATGCAGTAGTCATCATTGGATCTGCTTGGTGAAGGGGAATACTCATCACTTCTCTCTCCTTCTGTACACAGGATTATTCATCATGGATAGTAACAGGCCTACTTATTAAACCCATAAATTATTCCTTTCCATTTTGCTGCATTTGGATTTCACAAGACCAAGATCAGTCTTGCATATTCAAGCAATTCCATGCATACATGCGCACTTACAGGTTTAAAATATATAAAATATTAGTAATTTGCACTGATTGTGCCAGTGATTCATAAAACATTATGGATTAGTATATCTTAGTTCTTAACAGCTCTTTCTGGTACTGTGTTAACATTAACTGATCTCAGACAGCCTGCAGTTATTAAATGAAGTTACATCTCATCAGAGCAGATATTCTGTGACGTCTACCTTCTGGAATACAAGTAACCAAATTAAAATTTCCCAATGCAGCACAGATAGCAAGCAGAAGCTTTTGAATAATTGAATAATACCCAATGAGGAATTACAAAAGAGATGGAGCACGGAGGCGTATGGTGAAAACTCAAGAGGCAACAGCCACAAGTTGCAGCAAGGGAAATTCCTACTGGATATGAGGGTGTGGTTGAGCGGGAACAGGTTCAACAGGTTGCCCAGAGAGACTATGTAATCTCCATCCTCAGAGATCACACAGCAACCAAGCAAGGCCCTGACTGAGCAACCTGATCAAGGTTTGAAGCAAGCCTGGCCTTGAGTAGGAGGTTGGCCAAGGAGACCTTCAGAGGTCCCTTCCAATCCAAGTCCCTGTAGGATTCTATGAAATGGTGTTACTGCCAGTGTTCAGCATTCACCTGTGCTTCCAAAAAGTTGAATACATCCACCAGCTACAAAGCAAGTTTACATAAAGCTACTTGTTCAAACACAAATAGTGCCTTCCTGTTCTCCTGCAGAAACTTTCCAGTTTTAATAGTCTAATTATCTCTATAAGAACTAAGCAACTTCATAGCCTGCAGACAGATGTGCTAATTAAATGCTGTAACGGTCTATCATGAAGAGCTAAATTTTCTTTTCATGTGGCTACATAAGCGCAAATTTACTGGATTCATAGGGAATTATATTAACACTTCTAGTTACCTCACAATTGATAACTTCTGTCTAGATGTCCAGCGGAGCTCAGGGCATTGGACCATGTTCAACCAAACAACCCTCCAAGTACGCAGATTTGCAATCATTAACACGAACTAAAGCCCTGCAGTAGGAAATCCTGACTCAAACAGGACAGGCTACAGGAAAGACCAAGATGTCAGTATGGAAATAAGCCAAGCGCAGCTCAGGACACATTAGGCTGTAACACCCTGCGTTCAGCTCTGCCCAAACCGGTTTGGCTAAAGCGTTAAATGCTGGCTGGTGGTCGCACGCTATATTTGAATCCATCAAAACTGTCTGGCGCTGCTGAATACTTGATGAGCAGCCCTTGGCCACCTTGCTGCCACAGGTGGCTCAGATACGCTTCCCCAGGGCCAAAGCAAACACGGCAGCGACCGCCAACAGGAGAGGGGAAAGCGAGCTGCTGGATGTGGCACTGACCACTAAACACTGAAAAGCACTTCAGAGAAATGGCTTTGAATGGAAGCTGAGGGACAGAGACCGCGCTGAACGTTCCCGCAGCCCTGCTCGCTCACCGAAGCACACTGACAGCTGCCCTCGGTCAATGCCGTCAGCTAGCCCTCGGTGGTCTAACAAAAGCACAGCACCTTAAAAGCAAACATATTTTGCAGATTATACCAGGCCTGAATGATTTAATCCTGTATATCTTTGCAGGGCTCAGAGGGATTTCTATTTCTGGTCATTCAGCTAACAGGAAATTTATCTCCTTATGGGCTGCTTAGCACAGCCCTCTCCTTGTAGGCAATGAAGCTTCCTCCCAATACACCTTGCTACTACATATCCTAGCCCTCTCCATGTCCGTACTTCAAAGACAGAGGAACTTGGCTTAGAGCAATACTTTCCAGATTAATCTTCAGTGAGAAAATGGCAAGTTTCTTAGGGGCCTACACTCGGAAATGCCCTTCTCAAATTCCATTCCTTGGAGCTCAAGGTTTCACAAGTTCAAGGTTCACAGCCTCACAGAGCTGCGACAGCAGGTTCAGACCTCAGCAGCCTTTGCCTTCTACTTTTTGCATTTTAGAGCGGGAAGGTGGTTTAGAGCAGTAATTTCAGTAACAAAGCCGTAACCAACACTTATCTGAGACAGAGGAACCCAATACATCAGCTTCATTAGTTACAGCACAGTGGAGAATCTCTGGCTTTGAGTAACAGGTATGTGGAAAAGTTACGTTAATAACACGATCCCCATCAGCACATTATCATAGTCCTACATCACATTTACATTATGTAATGAGTTACATTATCATAGTCCTCAATTACCAGAAAAGAAATCTGCATGGAATTACAAAATTAAATTGATTTGCAACATTTTGCTTGCTTACAAGATACAGTTCACAAACCAAATATTTATTTACTGTATACCTTTGATAATCATACAGACAAATTA